TTTGACCATTTTTAATACAAGTATGTTGTAAAATCTGAGCAGTTAAAACAATGGTGACTGTTTGTTTTCACTTCCCTCTGCTCTGTTCTTAAAGGCCTCCACCTTAGCTTTGATTCTGACTTTATCGTGACGAACTCTTTCGGTGGGACTCACCACGAAGCTGCTGTCTTTGGGGTTGGAGGTCAGCGTCATTCCCAGCCTCATCTTGTCCTTCCTCTCAGACACGTTGTTCAGAGTGAGTCTCCCTGATCACAGCCAGAGCAGATGCTTTGTGATTTTAAGTTGAACGTTTTAGTGTGTTTTCCTGTGAAAGTCCTGAATCTTCCTTCCTGTAGCAGTTCCTGCTGTCTGAAACATCTAATGGAAGCATTCCTACATGCAGCAGCATTTCCACTTTAAAGAGCCGACAAAGCAGTGAGCCGGAGGTGGCAACAAACCGACGTGAAACCTGAGGCCAAGGTGATGACGCCATGGTGAAAATGTCTTCACCATGAGGTCCACGACCTTCCCCTTGCAGGTTTTACTCTGACCTCTGTGACAGTTTACACACCTGAGAGCACCTGTTCATCAATATTCATGCACTGCTGCTCACCCAGGTTGAGTCGGCTGCAGTTTGCAGAGTTCTTGCTGTCCAGCGGGCATCGGTACACATCGCCAGTCTGCTTCTTCCCCGTGGACTCAAAGGGAGCTCCAACCAGCAACCTGCAACCGCGCACACAGTTTGAATCACAAGCTTTATTTATAATGCAAAAGTCACGAATTCTAGAAAAAGAGGGACTCGTCTTCGAGGCTTATACACGAACGCCGTATCGGTTTTATATGGTTAGATATCCAAAGCCGAGCTGTTGGACGGCTGCACGTACACTTTATAATACAGCTCACAAAGCTTAAATATAATGACCTTATAATTATAAATAAAATATATTATTACACCCTTAGTTGCGAGCTGTATTATGTTACCAACTGAACTTAGTTGCGTGTAACCTGAAGCATTATGTCATTGTCTTTGTCCAGGCTCAAAGCAAAGAGGAGGGTTTGCTAGGATTAGCCCGAGCGCTCAGGAGGTTTCTGCACCATCACTCACAGCCTCCACTCCATTGAGAGCTATAACAACCTACAGTGTGTGTCTGATATGAAAACGTTATGTTTTGTGGTCTGTTAATCCTTTCATTGGCGTGCTCTTGGTTGGGTTTTGGCCCAGTATGAGCTGCTTTTAAATCTTGGTATTTTTCTCCACGTACAGAAACGTTTCCACTTCCCCTCCTCAGAGGTCAGTCCTCGTGGCAGCGGTCATGTTAGACACAGATCCTGCTGCCACAGTTACACTCAGCAGGCGGGTCATTAGTGTTAACCGGCGTAAACGCCACCACATGTGGCCTTAGTGGCGGTTCTGGGAAGAGGGCTGACTCACATACCAGAGGAGCTGCTGCGGCAGAGCGCTAACCCTCAATCTGCTAAAGTGTCTCCTGTCCACATCAAACGGCGGAAAAGCAGCGCTGACAAACCACATCCCAGAACGCAGGCGGCCCGGGTTCACATCCTGCAGACAGGAGCACGCCTCCGAGCCTCTGACATCATCCCGCCATGCTGATCACTTCCTGAGCAGGTGATGTTATTTAGCTTTCGGTGAAACTTCAAACTGCACGGGCTCTTCTGCTGCTGCTTTACGGGACTCTTTGTCATGTAATTGATGATCTCCGGGATGTTTTCCCCGAAACCAGCAGCTGGAAGGTG